ATTTACTAGAGACCAGTAACATCACTTAGAATGCAGCCTATCCATTCACTAGAGAGCGGTGACATCACTGAGAAGGCAGCCTATCCATTCACTAGAGAGTGGTAACATCACTGAGAATGCAGCCTATCCATTCACTAGAGACCAGTAACATCACTGAGAATGCAGCCTATCCATTCACTAGAGGCCAGTAACATCACTGAGAGTGCAGCCTATCCATTCACTAGAGACCAGTAACATCACTGAGAATGCAGCCTATCCATTCACTAGAGACCAGTAACATCACTGAGAATGCAGCCTATCCATTCACTAGAGACCAGTAACATCACTGAGAATGCAGCCTATCCATTCACTAGAGAGCAGTGAGATCACTGAGAATGCAGCCTATCCATTCACTAGAGACCAGTAACATCACTGAGAATGCAGCCTATCCATTCACTAGAGAGCAATGGCATCACTGAGAATGCAGCCTATCCATTCCTTAGAGAGCGGTGACATCACTGAGAATGCAGCCTATCCATTCACTAGAGAGCAATGGCATCACTGAGAATGCAGCCTATCCATTCCTTAGAGAGCGGTGACATCACTAAGAATGCAGCCTATCCATTCCTTAGAGATTGGTGACATCACTGAGAATGCAGCCTATCCATTCACTAGAGAGTGGTGACATCACTGAGAATGCAGTCTATCCATTCACTAGAGAGCGATGGCATCACTGAGAATGCAGCCTATCCATTCACTAGATAGTGGTGACATCACTGAGCATGCAGCCTATCCATTCACTAGATAGTGGTGACATCACTGAGAATGCAGCCTATCCATTCCTTAGAGAGCGGTGACATCACTGAGAATGCAGCCGATCCATTCACTAGAGAGCAGTGACATCACTAAGAATGCAGCCCATCCATTCACTAGAGAGCGGTGACATCACAGATACCGCAGCCTATTTATTCACTAGAGAACGGTGAGATCACTGAGAATGCAGCCTATCCATTCACTAGAGAGCGGAGAATCACAGATACTGCAGCCTTTCCATTCACTAGAGAGCGGTGACATCACTGGGAATGCAGCCTATCCATTCACTAGAGAGCGGTGACATCACTGAGAATGCAGTCTATCCGTTCACTAGAGAGCGCTGACATCACTGACAATGCAGTCTATCCATTCACTAGAGACCGGTAACATCACCGAGAATGCAGCCTATCCATTCACTAGAGAGCGGTGACATCACCGAGAATGCAGCCTATCCATTCACTAGAGAGTGGTGACATCACGGAGAATGCAGCCTATCCATTCACTAGAGAGCGGTGACATCACGGAGAATGCAGCCTATCCATTCACTAGAGAGCGGTGACATCACTGAGACGATCCAGCTGATGTACAGTTTTGTTCTGTTCCTTGCAGTGGAATGTTGAACAGATTGTCTTGCATTCTTTAACATAAACAGATTCTACAGCTTGAAGGTCTTTTTACATTTTTTACACATTTTGTCATGTTTGCGTCACAAAATTTCCCAAGAACAACCCACTTCAGTGGAAACTGATGCCAAGTCACACTAAAATGCTTCCTCATCATCTGCAGTGAATTGTGCTACTGAATCTGTAGCAGGGATCCAATAAAAAAAAACAGGAAGCAACACTTTTAATTAAAGTGATCCTTTATGTAGAACATTTTAAAATCCCTCAAAAATGACCGACGTGTTTCAGTTATAACACATTTTGTTCATCACACAGCCATTGCTTTGGTAGGTTATGGACCCTGTCAGTTGAAAAAAAAGACTCCCTCTGAAACAGGCGAGGGACAATACTCACCTGCTCTGGCGCCTCGTATTACCAACTTTTAGCCTATTTCAGTCTCTACAGCACTCAACACTTCCGGGAGTGTCCAATGCCCATTTTCCTTGCCATGTGCTGTGGTTCCATCCTCTGACCCCTATATCACAGCAATGATCAATGATGGTGTAACGGAACCGACCCAGACTGCAGGTACTTTTGTTACAATATGCTTCCCCGTCCGAACACCGACAACAGACAACACAGCTGACCATACAAAACTAAACAACACCAATCTTGAAATAATCCAGAAGGTAGACTAATTTATTTGAACACAGATACAAGATATATACACTCAGGGGACAGTCCCCCCTCCCTGCATAATGACACAGGGCGGGCAATCTACATTTAGTAACAAGAGATACACAGGTATTCAAACTTCAAACCAGCTGACAGTCCCAGCAGGAGGGAGGGCTGCTGGAGACACCCCCCCCCACTAAGCTAATATACATAAACACATACATCCCATAATAGTTTGCTCCCAAGCACGACACACAATAGAACAATGGGATGCAGCCACACAACACCAAACAATCCACAACCCCCACCCCACCTATCTCCTAGACATGTCTACACAATATTAGGACAGATCACCCTGTACCCCTAACAGGCACAGGGTGACTTACACATAAGAGGGATATGGGGAGCTGAGACAGGGGTCTCCCCACCTCTCCAAAGTGAGCTGTGTTCCATGGGCCCATTAGCCAAAGTGACTCCCGTCCAGGGGCGGACTGACCATATGGAAACTCGGACACTGCCCAAGGGCTCGGGGTCAGTAGGGGCCCCATGGCCCCATGAGATGCCCCTGGTACCTTTTTCATAGGCTTTTTTGAGTTTGGACAAGGACACAGGGGCCCCATGATCCTCTATTGCCCAGGGGCTCCATGAGTTGCCAGTCCGCCCATGCTCCCATCACAGATGGGAGTCATAGGTAGGAACTACATCATGGGACAGAGGAATCTGACACTACTGGAAGTGTTGAAAATTGGTTGGTTAAGTGCAGCATGGTGCTGTGGCAGAAAGCATACAGAGTCCCGCATTGCCAAAAACAATATATTGTGGAACTTGAAAGACAGTACAACAAGCCTGGTGGGAAGCCTCACCCAACTGGGACACTTACAACAGTTCAAAGTAGAGTCAGCGGTGTGCAGGCCCGGACTGCCAACGGCATCTGTCAAGAAGAGTAGAGTGCGGCCTGGCCGGTCCAACCCAAGGGGGAGCTTCCTGACGATACAGACATAGGCCCTACTCTTTCCCTACTCCTCTGGAACCACTCCCTACTGCTAGTCCTATCCCTGACAGACGGGTACCCTGTCCCTACACTAGTCACCTGCAAAATGCTCACCAAAACCCCAGGGCAAAGAATTAAAAAGACTCTGTATGATCCAAGATGGCCGCCAAGGTCACTTGGATCCAGCGCATCCAACCGGATCACTGCTCCACAGGACTGAGGAAACCATAGAAAAAACACAGTTTCACCTGACTTCCTCCTTCAGTTGCATTGCCGCTATGGATGAGCAGTGGAAACTGTAGACTGTACCTGCCTACATGTTGAAGATTCGGACAAACGCTTGAACTCTTGTAGGAAGGTTACTCATTACCATATACAGCACATGGCCTGCTCATGCAGCTAAGAATCCTTTCTGGAGATCCAGTAAAGAGACAGTTTAAAATTTTTCTTTGGCTGCATGTTATGATTTTGTGTTGGGTTGCATTCATAGCCGTCTTGGGATACATGTGGCCCATGGGCCACACGTTGGACAGCCCTGCTCTAGGTGCTTTTAAGGTTAAGCATTACCATTGAAATCAACAGAGGCGGCTGACAAGCGTTGATGCCTCATAAAAGCAACATGCAGCTTAATTTTTAACACGGCACAATCTGACACAATGGTACCGCTCCTGTGTGACCAGCACTGTGTGGTGCCATTGTAATATCCATGGCACGTAGGCAGGGGCGGACTGGCAACTCGTAGGGCCCCTGGGCAATAGGGGATCATGGGGCCCGTGTCCTCGCCCCACACTCAAACCACACCCAAAACAGCTTATGAAAAGTACCAGGGGCATCTCATGGGGCCCCCTACTGACCCCGGGCCCTCGGGCAATGCCAGAGGGCCGGAATGGTCAGTCCGCCCCTGCACGTAGGGAGGTGCATCAGCAGTAAAGACACAGTCCGGTAGCAGATAACTCAAACTTTGTATTGCAGAGTATGCTCTACTACAAACAAATCCAGCAGGAGAGCACCACCGGGGGTTCTTTCAAAGCAGAGATACAGTTGGTAAAGATGCACCGACGGTGTCTGTCTTAAGAAGGTGGAATACAGCCTGGCTGGTCCCAAAGGGGGCCTTACGAAGCAGGATTTCATGTCCCTAGCCCATCCCTACTCATCAGGAACGTTTCCCTGCCATTAGTACTTTCCCTCACAGACAGGTACTCTTTCCACTAACCACTACACAAAATTACCCCAAAACCTGAGGCAGGGGGGCTTATAAAGCCTCTGCTGACCCAAGATGGCTACCAGAGGTCACCTGGATACAGCATAGCCAATTGAAATGCTGCCTTCAGTGACCAGGAAACCATAGAGAAACCAGGTTTTCTCCTAACTTCCTATCTAGGCTGTGCTACCACTCGTATCAAGCACCACCTACAGTGGAGAAAGCGGACTGCAAAAGCCTACAGGCAGGCGCTAAAGGGCAGTTATGAGGCTTTAAAAATGCTGAATAAATATTGCATGCACACATGATAATGACACACGTGTGAACAAGCCCTAAAATGTTGGTGGGTAACCTGGCAGATACATAGAGCCCTACATGAGGTTCCCCACCATCCCAAAGTACTACCATTGTAATCTGGTAGCAGTGAATTGCCCCTCTTGCGAAGCTTATTATTATTTGTATTTTCACTTTTACTTTGGGTCATTGGCAAACACAGTTCCCTTTTCCATGCATAATTGATAGCTGCTGAAAAATCATGTGCAGTGACATGCATGAAGCCAAACAGAATAAAAAACTATAATATATATATATATATAATATTTTATTTTGAATCCCTTTAAAACTAAGGCCTTGCGTTGTTTCTAACCACTGCAAGTCCAGACACTTTCACCCCCTTCCAGTCCGGACACTTTCACCTCCCTTCCAGTCCGGACACTTTCACCCCCTTCCAGTCCGGACACTTTCCCCCCTTCCAGTCCGGACACTTTCACCTCCCTTCCAGTCCGGACACTTTCACCCCCTTCCAGTCCGGACACTTTCACCCCTTCCAGTCCGGACACTTTCACCTCCCTTCCAGTCCGGACACTTTCACCCCCTTCCAGTCCGGACACTTTCACCCCCTTCCAGTCCGGACACTTTCACCCCCTTCCAGTCCGGACACTTTCACCTCCCTTCCAGTCCAGACACTTTCACCCCCTTCCAGTCCGGACACTTTCACCTCCCTTCCAGTCCGGACACTTTCACCCCCTTCCAGTCCGGACACTTTCACCCCTTCCAGTCCGGACACTTTCACCTCCCTTCCAGTCCGGACACTTTCACCCCCTTCCAGTCCGGACACTTTCACCCCCTTCCAGTCCGGATACTTTCACCTCCCTTCCAGTCCGGACACTTTCACCCCCTTCCAGTCCGGACACTTTCACCCCCTTCCAGTCTGGACACTTTCCCCCCCCCTTCCAGTCCGGACACTTTCACCCCCTTCCTGCCCAGGCCAATTTTCAGCTTTCAGCGCTATCACACTTTGAATGACAATTGCGCGGTCATGCAACACTGGACCCATATGCATTTTTTAGCATTTTTAACATTATCGGGACCTCACACAGAGGTCCCGTACAGCGATCGGAGCGCGGTGCCGAGCGCTCCCAGGGAGCGCGCACAGCCTGAAAATGCAGGCGCCATTTATGAACGACAACCTGCTCCTACACTGCTCCAGTCCGGCTATTTATGTACATGGGCCGGATGGGAAGCGGTTAAATGGGTTATAATAAAAGATTGTGTTTTATATTCTGGCTCTGCTGATCATTTGGTGGTTCCAAGCATGGCTCTGGTGTGGGACAACCTGGTAAATACTTCAAGTTAATTTATTAAAAGTTAAGAGTGCAAAATCTGGCACAACTGTGCATGGGAGCCAATCAGCATCTGACTTCAGCTTGCTCTATTAAGCTTTGACAGTAAAACCTGGAAGCTGATTGGTTGCTATGCAGAGCTGCACCAGATTTTGCACTCTCCAGTTTTAGTGAATCAACCCCAAAGCATCATTGAGGTTCCCCACTATTCCAAAATTCTGCCATTGCCATGTGGTGGTTTTGAAATGTCCCTGAAACGATATAGTGTACCTAGAGTATTTGACTCCCAGGGCAGATCATTTTATGACACCACCTGCTGCATACAGCAATGTTTCAGTAATTGTCTTGATATAAAATGATTAATTACATGATGAAAAGAAATGAAAACAGTGAAGACTGTGGTGAACCCAAAATAAATAATATGTGTAGAAATTACCCCTTACAATGGTACTCAGTGGAAAATCCCCCCACCTCCTACCCTCCTTGCAATAGTGGTTAGTGTAGGTGGAGGACTAATTCAGCACCATTTTCAAGAAGCCCTTAGAATCTTCAGCAGGAATCCCAGGGTTCTCGAGAAATCTGGCTGAAAAAGGCATCACTAAAAATGTAGCCTATCCATTTACTAGGAAAATGATAGACAATCCGACTTAATACATCGCTGAGAATGCAGCCAATATATTTATTAGAGACAGGGGACATCACTGAGAATGCAATCTATCCATTCATTAGAGAGCGGTGACATCACTGAGAATGCAGCCTATCCATTCATTAGAGAGCGGTGACATCACTGAGAATGCAGCCTACCCATTCACTGGACAGTGGTGACATCACTGAGCATACAGCCTATCCATTCACTAGAGAGTGGTGACATCACTGAGAATGCAGCCTATCCATTCACTAGAGAGTGGTGACATCACTGAGAGTGCAGCCTATCCATTCACTAGAGAGCGGTGACATCACTGAGAGTGCAGCCTATCCATTCACTAGAGAGCGGTGACATCACTGGGAATGCAGCCTATCCATTCACTAGAGAGCTGTGACATCACTGAAATTGCTCCTATCCATTCACTAGAGAGCGGTGACATCACTGAAATTGCAGCCTATCCTTTCACTGGAGAGCGGTGACATCACTGGGAATGCAGCCTATCCATTCACTAGAGAGCGGTGACATCACTGAGAATGCAGCCTATCCATTCACTGGAGAGTGGTGACATCATTGAGAATGCAGCCTATCCACTCACAAAAAACTGGTGACATCACTGAGAATGTAGCATATCCATTCACTAGAGAGCGGTCACATCACTGAGAATGCAACCAATCCATTCACTAGAGAGTGGTGACATCACTGAGAATTCAACCTATCCATTCACTGGAGAGTGGTGACATCAGGGGCGGACTAACCATTTGGAAACTCGGGTACTGCCCGGGGGGTCAGTAGGGGGCCCCATGAGATGCCCCTGGTACCTTTTCATAGGCTTTTTTGAGTTTGGGCAAGGACACAGGGGCCCCATGATCCCCTATTGCCCGGGGGCCCCATGAGTTGTGAGTCTGCCCCTGGGTGACATCATTGAGAATGCAGTCTATCCACTCACAAGAAACTGGTGACATCACTGAGAATGCAGCCTATCCATTCACTAGAGACTGGTGACATCACTGGGAATGCAGCCTATCCCTTCATTAGAGACCAGTGACATCACTGAGAATGTAGCCTATCCATTCACTAGAGAGTGGTGACATCACTGAGAATGCAGCCTATCCCTTCATTAGAGACCAGTGACATCACTGAGAATGTAGCCTACTCATTCACTAGAGAGCGGTGACATCACTGAGAATGCAGCCTATTCATTCACTAGAGAGTGGTGACATCACTGAGAATGCAGCCTATCCATTCACTAGAGACCGGTGACATCACTGAGAATGCAGCCTATCCATTCACTAGAGAGTGGTGACATCACTGAGAATGCAGCCTATCCATTCACTAGAGACCGGTGACATCACTGAGAATGCAGCCTATCCATTCACTAGAGAGCGGTGACATCACTGGGAAAGCATCCTATCCATTCACTAAGAGATACATTGATCTCAAGAAGCAATTTCATGGAAACATAGGCACGTGGGCTTGTGGGAGATGAAGAAGCCTGGAAATGATAGGAGTTTTACATGTCATTACTGTATGTTGTCTCTACTACAAGTAATTGTACTTCCTTACAGCCTACACATGTTGAGGCTTGTGTCAATCTGATATACAGTATACTGTATATATAACAGGGTAACACAATGTGGCTGGGGCATAACGTTTCCTGTGACCCTCAGCAACCGATCAACTTCCAACTGTCATTTCTGTAGACCAGGCCTGAGAATTATTCACCAATTTGGATATGTTGCTACAGGTATTCATAAATAAAGACTTGGCTTAACATAAGTGTCCTGCATAGAGCCCCGAAGTCATCCCTACTAAACAGTGTTGTGATAAAATGGAATGCTGATTGTAAGCCAGGTCTTCACCTCCAACATCAGTACCTGATCTTATAAAGGCCATATTGACTGAACTGGAGAAAATCCCCACAGACACCCTCTAGAATCCTGTGGAAAGCCTTTTCCAGGAGGGTGGAGGCTATTATAGACAACTCTATATTATTGTCCATGATTTTGGATTGGGATGTCCAATAAGCTCATGCAGTTGTGACGGTCAGATGTCCACAAACACTTTGACCAAGAAGTGTGTCAGCATGACAACTACCAATTAACATTTACAGAAGATGGCCAACAATGAAAGGTTCTCCATGGCGGTCTTTAAAACCTGACGCCAACACTCCCCACCCCACCCCCTCCCCCGGTGCCCATGCATGAATGCTTTCATTTTCACAGAAACCTATAAAGAATACTCTCCTGAGATCTTGACAGGTGACTATAAGACGGGGAGGTAACAACATGGAAAGACCTTTAGAATCAAGACAATAAACGGCAGCCTTACAATGTGATTATCTTGTCTGGTGGACAGTAAACCTTCTGAGGTCATTTATGAAGTCAGGCCATGTTTCCTAACAACCAGACTTTCCAACACGGGTTTAAAAGCGAAAGAGAAAATAGGGTTGTGTACATGGTGAAAGACAAATAGATCTTATTTTAGACATTGCCAAACAGAAACATCAAAGAGGAACTCCCCCCCCCCCCCCTCATGTTTTTTCCCACTTACCTTTTTTGCTGGTGTTACGCACAATTCACATGCCTGGGAACCCAGCATCCTAGTATGATCCACCAAGCAACTGCCACACACTGGGTCCCATGCCGACATCCTAATATGTAAGTTCATGTTTTGACAAAAAATTAAAAAGTGAACTAATACCCTGCACCCTCCCTGCCCCACCTCCTCAGTCCTGCTCCATGGATGAATAGCTGTCAGTGCCCATGCAGCTAATGCAGCGGTCCAGGGATTTTAAAGTCATGGTCTTCTTCCCCTTATTTCCTTAGGGACAGATTAAAATAATTCTAATTTGTCAAAGTGGTCATGTGCCAGCCAGGGGCGGACTGACAACTCATGGGGCCCCCGGGCAATAGGGGATCATGGGGCCCCTGTGTCCTTGCCCAAACTCAAAAAAGCCTATGAAAAAGGTACAAGGCAGGGGCAGACTGACAACGCATGGGGCCCCCGGGCAATAGGGGATCATGGGACCCAGTGTCCTTGCCCAAACTCAAAAAAGCCTATGAAAAAGGTACCAGGGGCATCTCATGGGGCCCCCTACTGACCCCGGGCCCTCGGGCAGTGCCCGAGTTTCCAAATGGTCAGTCCGCCCCTGACGCCAGCACCATGTGCCAGAATCCTCTGATCCGTCCCACAAGAAGACCATGGATTTCTGATCCTCATACCACTGCATCCACAGAGATGAGTGCAGTAGGGACCAGGGTGTGGGGGAGGGTGTAGGGTGTTAGTTCACCTTTTCATTTTTTAGGAAAAAATTAACTTACACTTTAACATCTGATGTTATCGGCAGTCAACTGTCTCTTCCAGGTTCAGGCTGTGCCATCTGGTCCACTCTCCTCCAGATGCTATATGGAACCTTAATTTGTCCTGGGATATGTAGTGTGCATATCTCAGGAGGCTTCAGAGCAGAGGAGACATCATTCTTGTTCAGGATCGGGGGGGGGGGGGGGGGGGGGAGCAGTAGATAGACTAAAAACTAAGAAACAAAAGCATTTTCTGCTGTTTTTTTAGATTGTTGAAGATTGAAGGAATGCAATGATGTCTAGTGCACCTAGTTAGTGAAAGTCCACATTATTTGGGGTTCTTCAGCCAGCAGCACTAATCCTAGGAGGCCTATTATAAAATAAAACAGAACACTAGACACAATTTCTTTTTTTGTGTAGCACCCTCCTAGACGGGTTGCAGGAGTGGTTAGGTAAATTTATTTTTTTGGCTCCGTAGAGGAGGGTGTGATTATTTGGGCTGTTCTAGGCTTCACTGACTGCTCAACTGCTTCCCCCTGCCTTCTGGTTTATTCTGGAATGTAGAAGGTTGGATAAG